TGGGCTGCAGGTCTGAGGCATTTTGTTAGCATATTTTCTATCACTCTTATAGCTTGATAGGAAGCCTGATTCAAGCTGGGTGGGGTGACGCAAAAGAAAAATGTTCCCCATGTCCCCTGGAGGGCTCCGTAGATGAGGAGGAGGTGAGGAGGGGTGCAACAAACAGCATACTTGGATTCAAAATTGATTAGACACACCTGTCCTCAGGGCAAGCTGACCTGCATGTTTTCAGTTCAGCAAAACCCTGTCAATCAGCCATCAATTAAAATCATGTGTGGTTGTTTGATGGTTTATCCACCATCAGTCATCAACCTTAAATTCAGCCTTTGTGATCATAATTCAACATTGAATTTGGTTGGGACATCCCGCTCATGTAAATCGTGGGGGTGGACCACTCCACTTCTTGTAGTACGTTGTAGATGTTTTTGTGTCAATATGTCACACAAAAACAGTCAGTAAGAATTTTTATGGACAAGTAAGACAATGTACAGAAAGGAATCTCCACCCACTGTCATCTACAGTGCTTAATTTAAAACGTGAGAACCCCCACTCAGTAATAAAATGCTCTGACCCAGAGCGCTGATGAGGAGAAGATGTGAAGGTGTGCAGCAAAACAAAACATACATTGATTCAACATTGATCAGACGTCGGCATTTCACTCATTAGATTTCAACCACAAGAAAACATTGATTCAATGACACAGTTTCAACATTGGTTACTTGGCTAGAGCTGGATGGTTGTTTGATGGTTGATCCACCGTCAGTTGTCGACCTCAACCAAAAATCAACCATTCTGCCTATAATTCAACGTTGATTTACCATCGTCTGCTCTCTGGCCAGTTAGAGGCTTAGCGAAAATTTGCTGGCGTTTTCATTTAATTAGCTGATCCATCTCTTCAGCCACTTTGGCAGCTTCTCCCGAAGAAACCAGGTTTCATTATGTATTAGATATAACCTCCAAAATTACAAGAAATAAAGCTTGATTTCTTATGGGCAATAAATTGATATATGAATTTCCTTCTCTGAAATGAATGGGGAAAAATTAAGATTTTCAATTTATTTGACATATTTATTTGCAGCTACGAAATAGCAACATTAGGCATTAAACTCTTGTCGTTCAGGTGACTTATTTTTTTATTAAACACGTTTCATACATGCTTAATCTTTCATGCTTAGATGTCAGTATAAAACAGCTGCCTCAAGGTTTGCAAGCGAATGTTGTATCAATAAAGTTAAATAAAAAAAAACAGTGCTCGGAAAGGCGTGTCCGAACTTTGAACTGTGGTCCCCGTGTTCAATGAAAGAAGGAAGCAGCGCTGAGCTAACCCTCCATTATCGGTTCACTGCACGTCGCCACTAGCAGCTGAGGAACTCCACTGAAAATGACAGACTTACAAGTGAGTATGAATACATTGACTAAAGTGTGAAGCGTGTTCCAGCACATTAAAGAAGTGGGGGGGTTAGTTCAGTGGTGTGTGGTGGTTAGCCTCTTGGAAATGGCCATTTCCAGGCAGGTTCCTTTGGTTTAGAAAAATAAATTACTTAAAGGGAGCTGCTAGTGGGAAGAGTGTTTTTTCTGGTGGCACCGGTTTAAAAATGGTCGTTGGTGTATAAATGTTCATCAGGTTTTATGCCTGCCTCTGGCTACTGCACTTTTTTACAACAAAAAGCATGTGTTACCCACCCACCACGTATTAACTTTGCTGCCACTGTGACTAACGGCACGTATAATCTTATTAACCCTTGCGTTCACAAATGGGGTCCAACTGACCCCTCACCCGTATCACTTGCATCATTTGCCTCAGTCCTAAGTAGACCGGAAGTCTATTGTGAAAAGTGTCCTTCAATTACGTCATCACTGACCTCTGATCAGACTGCGCGACATAGATCAGACACGTGTTCATATTTCTGGCTGATCGGTAGGCTAAGAAGCTACTGGTGTCCTGGAGGCAGGGGCGGTGCCAGGAATCTTGGGCTCCATGACAAAAAATGAAATTGGGGCCCCCCCACACAGCTGCTGTTACAATTTCTTGAGTCTGACCCATCAAAAGTGTCACAATTTTAAAGCCTTGCTTTCTTTGGTTCAATACTGATAACTAGCACAATATTTACTGCTCGTGAATTTAACATGGAACCTTCTTGCATACAGTATACAAGAAGGGTTGCTTAACTTTTTTTCTATTAGTTTTATCTTACTGAAATATCTCTTCCCACGAGCAACACCAGGCAATGTGCAAAATATATATGAAGCAATCCAGACTTCTAAAAAGAATTGCCATGTTGTTGCATTTTCTGCAAGCTGCAGTATATAACTTTAATTAAAAATATATATTTTCTCCATATTTGTTAAAGCTGTCACAATGTTGTGACAGTTTGCTATGAGATGGATAATCTGTGATTAAAAAGATCAATCTCCTCTACTTCCTCCCTGAACTATTACTGGATAAAGTAATGCAACGTTCTGGCCAAAAACAACCAATCAGAACCAGGAGGTGGGTTTTAGTGCTGTCAATCATCCTCATTCACTCACTACTAAATGTTCTAATGGTGGAGAAACAACATATCGCTCTGTGCGATGACGGACCCTGATTATCAACAGCTGTATGTATGAGAAGGGGAATTTTTTATTTTATTCTGGATTTAAAAACCTTTTTACCCGTTTGTCCATTTAAATTTACAATGTTTTTCAAAAATACTGTGTTCAGTCAACTAAAAGTAATTACTTTGATAATACCAAACGTTGTTGGGGTCAGAGAAGGTCAACAGTTTGATGATTAAAAGAGCCTTCCTCTTTTTTCCTGTAGGCTAACTTTGATGTGGCCGCAGCTGAAGTAAAGCAGCTGAAGGCGAAACCATCTGATGAGGAGATGCTGCTGCTCTACTCCTTGTTTAAGCAAGCCACCGTGGGAGATGTTAACACAGGTGAGACTGCCTCCTCACAGAAGTGCACTCAAATTAAATTCATAAATACTTATTGATCTCAAAGGGAAATTAAATGTTGTAACTCAGAGATGCAATGCACTAATCTACACTTCAGTTTTGCTACTAGCTGTTAGGCTGTAAAACAATTTAGGTTAAAACAGAGCACCTTGTTTTAGAAACAAGACGTTAAGGCTTCTGCTTTCATTGCTACACCACTGAGTCAAACATATTAGGAAATTAATTTAGTTGTGTTTGCATGGTGGTGCTGCTGACAGAACCTTCCTTGTGACGGTGCAAAGTTCAAATCCTGGCCATTTCCTGTTGCCTCAGTTCTCTGTTGCTCTGTTCTTCCTCCCACTGCCCCATCATGAATGTTAGGTGAGATTGGTCACTCTAATTTACCCACCCCCCATGCCCTGCCCTATGATAACCAGCAATACTGAGTAATATCAAATGGCTAAAAAAATAGTCTGCTAGCATGACAGTCCAGATTGAATTTCTAAGCAATGTAACTTCGGAACCAGTACAAGTCGTCTTACCATCGTATCTCTATCATCTTTCTAAAGCTCGTCCTGGAATGCTTGATTTTACTGGAAAAGCTAAGTGGGATGCCTGGGAGAAGCAGAAAGGTATGTTGGACCACAGCGTACACCTCCAGATCTGTCCATGACCTCCCAACATGCAGTTAGGCGAACCAGCGACCCACCAATTGCAGAACAAACTCCTACCACTATGTCTGTTTATGCCACTTTGCATGCAAAACTGGAGTCCTTGTGGAGACACAAGACGTGTTCAATGGTTTATTTCTCCTGAAAAAAACAGTCTTCCTTTCTTCTGTCAGGCAAAAGCAAAGAGGATTCCATGAAAGAGTACATCAAGCTGGTAGAAGAGCTAAAGCAGAAGCATGGAATCTAATCACTGCCAGCGAGTCAGGACAGCTGCTGCACAGATTTGGACTCTTCCAATTAACCTGTTTAAACACCCTTTTAATAAAGCCGAGGATCCTCTTCTTATAATGGTTAACGTCGGTAACATGAAGGTCTCTTAATGTTGCAGTGCTGGTTAGAAATCGCCTTCAACTTGCTTTTTAGTGTTATTATAATGTCCATTGTCATTTCAAAATGAAATAACTGCACTTAAAACATGTGTTGTGTACACCCAGACTCTAATGTTTCTACTGTCCAGGCCAGCTAACAGCATTGCCTGGGCCTGAAAACGATTGTTTTATATGGGCTCTCACCAATGCATTATACTGCTAATGGACAAATTAATCTGTCTTTCTCAATTAAAGACATGGTTTAATTGTCTTTAAACCATGTCCATAATGGTTATCAATGGCATGAAGTTCTAATGTTGCAATGCAGAAACTGTCTTCAGTTTGCTTTTTAGTATCTTTACAATGTCCATTGTAATTTCAAAATAAAATAACTCCTTAAAATGTGTGTTGTTCTCCCTGACGGTCCATTCGTATGAGTTTTCCTCCGAAACACCATCCATCCATTTTCTGTACACCCTTGTCCCTAACGGTGTGCTGGTGTCTGTCTCCAGTTAACGTTTTGGGTGAGAGGCGGGGACATTTGGACAGGTCGCCACTCTGTCACAGGGAAACGGAGACAGACAGGACACACAACCATGCACACACACACACACACCAGGGGAGAATTTAAAGAGACCAATTAACCTGACAGTCATGTTTTTGGACTGTGGGAGGAAGCCAGAGTACCCGGAGAGAATCCACCATGCACAGGGAGAACATGCAAACTCCATGCAGAAAGACCCTGTGCCGGGAATCGAACCCAGGACCTTTTGCTGCAAGTTAACAGCTCCACTGTGCAACACCTTCCTAGATAATAAGAAAGCTGAAAGTCACACAAAACCAAACTTGGGAATATAAAATTCTGAAAAAAGAAACGCTGAACAAATTGATATCTTTTAAAGGCCTAAATATTAGTTTGTGGAGTGATCCAGGAGGATTTTTATGAAGCACTTATCGAGGCTCATCTTCATGGAGCATGTGACTGATTCAGGAACTGTTTTGTCACATATTTCTAAACGTATATTTTAGAAAGAAAAAAGATGTTTAGCATGTTTTTTAAAAATGTATTTTACATTTTTAATATAATCTTAAGTATATCCACTTGATAACTGGATAGCAAATGGATATTATACTTGATATCAAGTATAACAAGTGGTGATAGCCTATACCATCAGAGTGGCCATCACCATGCTGCCACGATTTGATACATTTGATACAATATGCTGTATTTCAGAAAAATCCAGCACATTTAAAATATACTTAAATATATTATTTTTTCTCCACCAGGGTCCTCCTGAACTTAAGTTACCATATTAACTTCATAAGTCATGCCAATTACGCCCTCCCGCCTCCTTTCCCACCTTTCACAAACTGGATCTGAATGTCGGTTATATTAAATCCCCACTACTCAGCTCATACCCCTCTCTCCCCCCTCCCACTGCTCAACAACTATGTGGGTGGTGGGGTGCTAGAAAGGTGGTTCGCCCAGGGCGCCAAACTGGCTAAGACCGCCTCTGCTTGCATGAGCTATATTCATATTTCAGCCATGGTGCTGCTAGCGTTCGTCAGCCATCAGAGGAGGCGTCGATGTTTTATTCAGGCATTGACCGACGTCACTCAATGCAGATGGAGGGCAGGAAGTAAATGCAGCCTGTTTACTTGTTGATCCAGCTTCAAAATGCCTAAAGTCTGTGTTCTGGAGTTGTGGATACAGGTGAACACTACTGCTCTGAAAGATGATGGTACTTTTTAAAAGTTGTTTTTTTTGTTTGTTTTTGCTCTTGTGGCCTTTCTTGAGAGTGGTTAGACAGGAAATTAGATAATTACCCCTGAGCAACCACAACACCCACTCAGTAAAAACAAATTAATCAAGATAAAACTTTTGAAATATTAAGTTTAAATTGTAATTTTTTCTTTAGATTTACATCAAGCCTCTGCTGGTGAGCATATGGAGGCTGTCCTGGAGCCCAGCAGGTGGTTTTAGCACCTTTAGTCTTTTTCTTATATCGTAATTCAATAATGACTCAGTGAACCTGGGATTTAGTTCAAATAAAATTCTTGCTGTTATTCTTCCTCAGCCACTTTCTCAGTGGGCGTTTATAGTGAGCCATCAGCCCATTTTATTCATGGCAACATAAGTAAAAACAAACATAGTAAAACAAAAGTAATTTTACCATGTCAAAGTAACGTTTTGCAGTAAAACAGTTTGAGGAGAATGGGGAACTTAATCTTGTTGCATGTGTGTGTGCGTGTGTGTGTGTGGGAGACGGGTTTTGGGGCGAGGCACAGTTCTCCTAAATTCTGTCATACCCGTTAACTTCCTTGTCTGACAGCACATCTATCTGCCTACACGCAGAAAAGCACCATCTTGTGAGTGGTAAGTTTCTTTCACATACTTTTTGTAAGTAAGCCACTTTTGTCGTCTCATGTTTGTTCCCCCTTTGCTGTAGTTTGCTCCGTTTCTACATGAATTCGTACGAATGCAGACATTCAAATTCTAATTGGGAAAAGAACAGCGATAAAGACGGAGAGACATACGATGAAACGTTTGGGTTAAAAATAATGCACCAAGCAGGAAGAGTCGGGGCTACCATGTAATTTTATCAAAATTATAGTTTATTGGGTCACAAAAATTCAAAATTCTGTGTAAGACACACGATACACATTCTTAGGATGTGTATCGTAAGAATTTCATATGAAAGTGACAAAGTTAGGATGGTATGGACGTTCAGTCTTTCGAAAATGAAAGTTATTGATCTTAACACTACATTGCAGAGTTTTCTGAAAACAGCAGGAGTGATCTAGAGCTTAAAAGTGATTTAGGCACTTTTAAGCCTAAATTTGGGCTCAAAAAAATCCCAAATTTGAAAAGGTCTAAAACATCCTTCAATTTATTTGAATTTTGGATTTTAATCCAAAATGTAATCAACTGTCATGATGACACCAGTGACCTTGTGGACATGTTGACTTGCAAAACGTCTCCAGTATTTGCACTGGTTCATCCAACTATGTGCAAATATACAGAAACTGGAACATTTTTGTGGGTGAACCATCACTACTGGCTTCACTGTTTATTGTTAATATTAAGCTTACTTATATTTGCTTGTCATAAGCAATTTATGTAACTTTATGGCCACATCTAGTTGTTTCCCAAAATAAATGTTGGAAAGGTACGTAATGACTGAAACAAAAGGGGTTTTCAGAAGATGTTACTACATCTTGCTAATAATGGAGCAAGTTGCTCGGCTAAATCAGAAAGAGGAAGTACGCTAGTGAGCTCACGCTATTGTCAGCTTTTTCCTTTTATGGTGTAAACTTAAGTTGATCTCTGAATTTAGTATACGTCAATTTAACACAGAACTTTGATGCCATGAAGCATTATATTTTATATTGTAGCTTTAATTTTTGTGTTGAAGAGATTTACTAGTTTTCTCTAGTATAATGTTTTAGGGTAATCTTGGGGTTAATTATCTTTTGTATGTTTTGTGTCGTCAGAGAATGGACTGGTGTGTGCTTTCACTTCTGCTCCTTATGCTGGGCAAACATGGTAAGTTGGAATAATCTGAAAAAACATAACTGCATGAATACGATTTATGGCATTTCTTTCTGTGAGAGCAACACATTAATTAAAAAAAAGAAAGGTCTCCATCGGAACAACATGGAACTTGGTTTTGTTTGTAGTGAGGCAGGAAGCCTCAGAGTTTGCAAAGGTGTCTCAATTTTAACACAGGAAATTATACTGATAAAAAATACTTTCCATTCTACAGGCATCACCCACATTTTACTAATACACTAAATATCTGCAGAAGGCTGGAACAAAACATTAAAAACTCTTGAAACATTTTGGTTCCACACCATGCTACGTTTCTTACATGTACTCTGTGGTTTGTTTGAAGGGCTGTGTCAGCAAGAGGAAGTTTGCTCAAAGTCAGCGATCACTTCGTGTAAAGACTGCATCACATCTGGGCCGTTCTGCTCATGGTGTAAGGAGCTGGTGAGGAACACTTGTTGTATCAGCAGTTTAATGAAAGTGGCTGGATGGATTAACACTACTTGTATGCATTTATGGATCTTCATATTTACTGTAATGCAGTCGGTCAGCAGTACTGTGTTAATAAACTGTGTTTATGGTACAAAGGTCAGTAGACTCTTCATAACTACTGCAATAACACATCAATGAGTTCCTGGCATATTTACCTTCAACTGTCACTCAAAAAGCTTACATGTTAGTCAATGGGACCACACTGGGGTGTCAACATGCCAGTTAAAGGCTTAAATGGTATTTACCCCAGTGCACAGTTTTTTCCAGATGTAATATAATTGATATTAGCAGCCCTAAACACATAACAGCTACCACTGCAGGGTTTTGAATTGTCACATTTCTGGCATAGACATGTAGTTTGTTCACACCACAGATCTCATAACACTTCACTCGTCACCACATATATGGCAATCTGCAAGAATCATTTGAGCAGCACTGGTAACAGGAAGTGAGGTGTTTTTCTGGTAAATGTTCCACTTTTAAATATATCACCACTGAACTGAGTCATGTGACAGATAAGTTGATGTTGAACAATCTAAACTATTTTTGATTGCCCTTTCATCGCTACTTCTGCATCACCAAACAGGAAGTTTGTGCAACTCTGAGTTAAGGCCCTATTACACCCAACCTTTTTTCCTATTTCACAATAGACCTTTGTTTAATGCAACTGACTGTAGCTTCCTAGGCTCACAGCTGCACTATGCACAAAAAAGGCCAGTATGGTAACATTCAAAGCTCTCAACTGTATATCCAGGCAGAACGCAACCAAGGTGGGAGGGAAAAAGCTTCTTACAGTTTAATTTTTAAACACATTTTCCTTTTTGGACATGTAGAAGGTTGTCATCAATGTTATTTTATTGAAGTCATACTTCCATTAGTAACTTAAAGGAGCTATGCAGCTGGTTTCTTATGATTTTATACTAACCCTAACACACAACAGGACACTACTTGGAGGAAGATCCTTTGCTGTCCAACACAATCAATTCTTATTGGGGGCTTTTCTGCGCTACAACTTTGAAACCAGAGGCTTAGAGCCCCATCCACACAGGAGTATTTTATTTTAAAATGGAAAAGTTTAAACTCTTTGTGCAAGCAGATGGAAATGGTGTTTTGTTTTTCTTTACCCAAAGTGAAAAAAACCCGCTTATGATCAACAAGCGTTGCACAGTTTTGACCACCGTTTGCAGAGACTGTCAGCTACTAATGATTTCCATACCAATGTTTGCTCTTTAGCTTGACAGATATTTTGTTGTTTGGCTTTCACATAGAATTTTACCAAAGGTGGAGAACAGGAAGCAGCCCGCTGTGAAACTCGAGCAAAGCTGATGGCAAGAGGCTGCAAAAGAGAAGAGATTATTTCTCCTCAAAACACCGAGGAGATTAAGCAACAAGACCCTTTATCCAAGTCGTCTGGCAGTACAGAACCAGTCCAAATGACTCCACAAAAAATCGACCTGAAACTGCGACCTGGTGAGTGCAGTCAGTTGTTACTGTCCATATCACTGAATATATATATTCTAATACATGTAGAAAAGTTTTGTGCTTATTACATTTAGGAGTAAATGTTATCATCCTTTGGAATCTCTTATTTTATAGATCAAACTGTCACTGTATTCCACTTATTGGTAATATGGGTCCATGCATACAGTAGATTATACCATAGCAGGAGCTTCTCAGTGATGACCGTCAGGTTTCTTTCTCTAACTGAATTCTTTATGAGCATTGAAATGTAACTAATTTTATCTTGTCTTTGCTTACAGGGCTTCCACACAAATTCAAAGTGTCCTTTAAGAGGGCTGAAGGTTACCCTGTGGATCTTTACTACTTGATGGATCTCTCCTACTCCATGAAGGACGATCTGGCTAATGTAAAAAGACTGGGAGGAAATCTTTTTGATGCTTTGAATAAAATTACTAAAGATGCTAAAATAGGTAATGCATTCTTAAAGCATTTCTTTTCAAATGCACAGAAAAATTTCTCAAATTGTTTCTCAATACTAGTAAACAAAGTCACAGACCAAAAAGCTGAGGTTCAAAAGTCTAATTCAGTTCTTCTGCTGAATTTTATCTTTTGGAATGAGCAGCTGATGCTCAGCCAATTTGGAAAACAATCAAATATGAGACTTGTATGTACAAAGATCTGTAACAAAGATCAACAGGACTTTATCTAAATAACTTAACCTTTTTTTTTAACTATAGCTAAAGTTCTTTTCTACAGCTTTCAACAAGTTTGGCTGACAAAGTTCTCATCACAGTGCATTTATTTGACTCTATACTTTCACTAGACTTCTTTATTTACATCTGTGTAATTACAGGATTTGGGGCCTTTGTTGATAAAACCGTCCTTCCTTACACCAACACCAACGAGGAGAAACTCAAGAAACCATGTGATGAAAGTGAGACTCAATGCCAGGCTGCCTTTGGCTACAGACATGTGCTCAGTATGACACCGAGTCGGGACGTGTTCAGACAGAAGGTGGCAGAGCAGTACATCTCTGGGAACTTGGACTCTCCTGAAGGAAGCCTTGATGCCATGATGCAGGCTGCTGTTTGCGGGGTAAGGACTCCACCAAAGCCGACACAGTCATGTACAATCTGTTAATCAGTGAAGCTGCGTAAGAACAATTAAGGTTTGTTTCCATGCAAGTGAAAATACTCCAGATGTAATGTTACTGCAGAGCCACTGTGGTAGAAGTTCCATATGATTTAAACCAGCAGGTTTATGGTTTTATTCACAAACCACTCTGTGTTGGAAAAAACAATATTCTTGCCCATAATTTGGTAGTTAGAAGGGGCAGTTAAACCTTCACTCCTCCTTGTTGTTGATAAGATGTCTTAACAACAAGGAGGCAGACACACTGAGACTCCATTCAGTCGTTTTTAGACCGAGGGCAGCCAGACTAATTTATTTTTCTAAATTGTTTTTGTTAGGGCCCTCCAGTAGTATTTGTTACTGTTTGTGCCCCTCCAAATAAAAAAAATAAAGAAACTAAATTATTGATCAAAAAATTCTAAAAAGGGCATCTGGGGCATTTCTGACAAATGCCATTACACCAACTAATGACACCGTTTGTTTCATTCGTCTTCGGAGCAAGAGTATTATTAGTTGTACTGACCGTCTTTGTACATTTTCCACTGAAGATGGAAGTTTATGGTTGTAAGACATTTTCCCCTTGCTGACACACTTCACAGGATAAAATAGGCTGGAGGAACAGCAGCACTCGGTTAATTGTACTCGCCACGGATGCTGGATTCCACATGGCTGGGGATGGAAAACTAGCAGGCATTCTGGAACCCAATGATGAACTGTGCCACATGACAGGCAACCTGTATGAAAAAAGTAATGACATGGTATGTATGAATTGTGTTTTATTTCTGACAAAGAGAAATTAAGCAGTGAATTCAAGGATGAACAATTTTGTCTTATTGTGTTAAGTAGCTACTGACCAAGAGGGTAATTGGATAAATGACAAAAACTAAATACTTGAATACTTGCTGACATTTCCCTCCTTTTTAAATGTCCCCTTGCTTCACAAAGACACCCCTTCTTTATTATTATATTTTAATTCTAATTAACAAATTCTTCAATTCTCCTGTGCAGGACTACCCGTCTGTTGGACAATTAGCTATGCAGCTGGAAAAAAACAATATTCAGCCAATATTTGCTGTAACAGAAAACGTGAATAATGTTTACAAGGTAATGCTGACCATTTCTTTTAATGCTGAAAATTTTATTATAACAGAAAAAAATTGTCAACTAAATCTAAAATCTGTTTGTTCCATTCTTCCTTTAGGAACTCACTAAAATGATTCCAAAGTCAGTGGTGGGAGTCTTATCATCAGATTCCAATAATGTTGTTCAGTTAATTGAAAGTGCCTACAATGTAAGTCTGTTTGTTATCTAGCACTTTTCTATCCATACTTCAAAGAGTGTTAGGGCGCATTCAGACCAACCCAGGACTAGAGCTCTGAATCAGACTCTGATTCAGATTCCTGCTCATCCCTCATTGGGATAACTTTCAGTCCCCTATGCTTTAAGGGCATATTGACCAAGTATGGGGCAGATACTTGCCGAAATCCCTCTGAGGAATTTGTTAAAGTTCGACATGCATGAAAAGTGAAAAACTCTCAAAAATTACCATTTGACTCAAAATGGTCAACTCCATTCTTGTTTTAGTGGGTTCTATCTATGTACCACATTTCAGCTTTCTGTGATTTAACAGTTGGCCTGTCTCACATTAGGATGTGCTGTACAGCAGCTTGGCCACACCCATTAAATTCAATACAATTAAGATATTTTAATATATTTAATATATAAAAATTTTGGGTACAGTTTGGAAAATTTGTAAGCTTCCAAAGTGATTTTGTTTTGTCTGAGAATCTTAATAATAAGCATTTTAATTCCATAGGCCTTCACAGTGCTTTTGCTACTTGAGACTAAGAATTGTTTGCTGGTTTTGCAAAAAATGTGTAAATATGAATAATCTGTATATTGTTGCAGAACTTGACATCTAAAGTCACAGTGACTCATGACATTCTTCCTGACAACGTACGAGTTGAGTACTTGGCACTGTGTGAACACCGAATAAATGAGGGCCCCAATAAAGGCGTCTGCGATCAAGTGCAAGCGGAAAAAGAGGTCAGTGTTTTGAGATGCTTTTATTCTGTCATAACCCAGTGAAAATTAACCTTTTCAGATATTTGAACCTGGTTTATCACATCAGAAAAAGATGTGATAAACAATCACAGATTTGACATTTTTTACAGCTGTTGACACAGATTAAATGATTAACTGCTGCAGATTTTGTTACCCAATAAACCTTTTGCTTTTAGCTACCTTAGCCCTTTATGTTATATAAGTGTATGAAACATGTTATGGAACTGTAGTCATTTTCCATCCTTTCCAACCTGCTAATACTGGAGTAGGAAGGGAAATCTAGATTTTCTTTTGCAGCCCTCACTACATCCAACAAAACTGATTATTTGCTGGCTTGTTTGTGTCATATGTAGAACTCTGTTACTTTGTTGCTGTGGTTACAGCCTGAGCGCTGTGTGTCCGGTTCTGGGGGAAAACCGTTAGAGCTGCTATCCGTTTGTGTGCATGTTTTCCAACCATCAATAAAGCTGAGTTATAAAAGACAAAACTAAAGCTTGTTTTAGTGTGTATGTAAATATGCATAAGTGTTGTGTTGCTGAGTTTTGTGGGAACACTAAAAAAATTATGTTAGTGTACAGGAACCAAGCACTTCTCTGATTTCCGGGTCCATTCCGGCTTTCGCTCAGAGATGCTGCACAAAGTAATCGCAGACTGATATAAGTGCTGTAAGTGCACTTGCTGTTGTAAAACATTATTCTCTTACTCTTGGAACGAAAGGGATACAGAGGTAATGTTAGGCATTAAGTGGGCTGGAGCTCTAAGATTCTTTGGTACAGTGGCATTTTAACTAATACACATTAATTTGAACTGGAGATGTGCCATGGGAAGTAGCCCTTTAGATACCTTGTTAGCTCTGATAGATCCGCTGTAAAGTTTCAGTAGGTTTGTGATTTTAATATTTTTACACACCTGATCCATTTGCTCTCTTTACAGATATCTTTTGAGGTTACTGTGACTGTGGACAAATGCATGGAGGAAGAAAAGTCCTTCACTATCAGCCCACTGGGAATTAAAGACAAACTGACGGTAACCATTTCTACCAACTGTGAGTGTCAATGTAATGACCCCGAAGGCAGCAATCACATTCACTGCAACAGTACAGGAAGCATCACCTGTGGTATTTGCAAGTAAGTTATCTTCCTCAGAGTCCCTGTTTTAATATTTTAGTCACATATTGATGTTTAAAGGAAAAATGTGTTTTCAGTAAAACATAGGTATTTATTCAGTATTGCTATAGGAGTGAGAGGCCCAGATGGTAAGTTACCCCTAACCCCAGGCATTTGAGATCTTTGATGATTGTTTTAAAGCCTCGTTCACACGGCACAATTTTGGAATAGTTGGCCGATTTTCAAAATCTGAGAAGCCACACACCAGCCAATTAAAAATCTTAAGTATAGCAGGTTCGACCATAGCATGTGTGATGTCCAGCCACATGGCAGGAGCAACATACCAAAGTCCAAAACGATTTTACCCACAAACATTCGAATTCCAGATAGAAAATCCCATGAAACCCCACCATCCCATACATAAATTTAAAGTAAGCAAGCAATTTCAGCATTTCCTTTTTTTCTGTTCAGCTTTGCCACATGGAAAGTACCAGAACCTCGCTTCAGTATTATCGCAGTTTGGGCAAATATGAATGGATCCGTTTGTATTGATTTTGATAATAATTAGTACCTTAAATAACTTTTTTCTCATATCAGTTATTATTTTGACAACTCTTACCTGATGATAGTGGGTTTTCAGTGGTCATGTGTAGTCGTCTAAGTAGTTAGTATATTGCATCTGGATTTTCTATCAGGGACTGGGGAGGTGAGCCTCAGCCACTCACCTTGAACAGGTTTGCCTGGGCATGCAAAATGGATGAATATAACTTAGGGAATAAATATTTTTGTGAAATAGGTAAAAAAAAAAAAACTGTTTAAAACAAAGCCAACTGTAATTAATTCTAATTTTGATTTGGTTGTTGTATTGTTATTTTTAATATTTCGTTTTGCAGATGCAATCAAGGTTTTGTGGGTCAGTTCTGCAACTGTGCTGTTGGGACTAAAGATGAAAGCTCTCTTCGAGCAACCTGTCGGAGGCAGAATGGGACGGAGTGTGAGGGTCGAGGAGATTGTGTGTGTGGCGCATGCCAGTGCCACACTACAGAGCAAGGAACCTCTTACCATGGAAAATACTGCGAGTGTGATGATGAACACTGTGAGAAGTATGATAACAAGCTGTGTGCAGGTAAAGTATTTAACTGTTTGTTTGTTTTTTTAAGTAGATATATTTTTTCATCAAAATATTTCTCAACGAAAGACTTACAGATGGATGTGGGACTTTTTATATACAAAACAAATTCAAGGTGGAAGTCATAAAGGTCATTTATAAACCAAACAAAACATTTACAGCAAACGCTTAAACCTCAAAAATAACAATATTTGCAGTTTGGTCTTGTAAGTATTACTACTAAGCATTTTTAGAGCTTAACATCCATTAAAACATTCAGGAAACCCATAACCCTGGTGATTAAAAATCTATTATGTCTGGTCTGAAAACTCAGACCATAATAGTCTGGTCTGAGTTTTGCAAATTTGCAAAGAGCAAATTTGCTCTTTGAATGCTCCAAACACACAGAATCTAGTGGAACTGCTTAGGAAGGGAAATAGTCAGGTTACCTTAAATATCATTTTATCAAAGTTTTCTCACCATAAATTTCCTCTCACTGGATGATCAAGGCCCCAAGGGTGGATGAGATTCGTCTGGAGTTCTTTAAGGCTCTGGAGGTTGTTGGGTTGTGTTGGTTGACACGATTCCCCAATATTGCAGTCTGCCAATTTCCGGTCCCCCTATTCAGAGAGGGGGGTGGGGCACAGAGTGTGCTCTAACTCTAGCTTAGGAGTGCCCACGTCCAGTACTCGAAAGTTACCATCCCTCAAGTTCTAGATGTATTCCTTCTTCAACTCACCTGAGTCAAATGGCTGAACTCCACCTTCAGCATCAGTCATTCAGCTCTGCAGAGGCATTTTAAAACAGCTGCAGGATAGTAGATCCTCAGGAGAGGAAGATTGGACACTCAGTCCAGCTCATTCTGGGTCTTCCAAAGCCACAATGGACACAGTGGTCCTACTTTGAGTGTGTGGCTGGGGAGAGGGATGTCAAGGGTTTTCTCCTTCCTGTGCACTTGATCTAAAATAAACAGAAGTGCATGGATGAACATACTGTTGATTAAAATCATTTTAAAAATGAATACTGAAACTCATTACTTTTAATGTAAAACATTTAAAGTAATAGTTTAAAACCCCTTAATCTCCACCCCTTGATATTTTTTTTTATATTAAAAACATGAGGAAGAATTAAGAAATTTAAGAAGCCTCAAATGAAGGAGGTCATTATTAATGTTGATGAAAATTAAAGTGGAAAAAATATGACAACCTTTTTAATTCTCATTGCTTTTAGGAAATGGTAAATGCAACTGCGGACAGTGCCGATGCGATCCAGGTTACCAAGGCAGCGCTTGTCAGTGCAAAGTTTCTGACGAGGGCTGCCGTACACTAGACGGCTCTATTTGCTATGGCAGAGGGAATTGTGAATGTAACCAATGCAAATGCAAAGGTGGATATCAAGGTCCACAATGCAAGGATTGCAGTGGCTGTCCTTCTGCATGCCTGACGAAATTGTAAGAAGATTAAAGTTACTACTTTATTTAAAGCTGCTTTCAGAATGTTAATGGTTCCTGTGAAAATTATATGCCTCATCTTATTTATCTGTTGTATTTTAACCTGTTCTATTTATGTTATTCTCAGGAGTTGCATTAGCTGCCTGTCATTGAGTAAATCGAAAGAGAACTGCATCAATGTCTGCAACAATACCATTTCAGAATATAAGAAGGTGGAAAAATTCAACTTGCAGAGCAAAGAATGCCACCAGAAGGACAGTGAGGGGTGCTGGATCAAATTCAAGCTGGAGCAGTTAACTGGAATGGATAATTACAATGCTGAAATTCTGACAAAGAGAGGTATGTCACTGATTGTCAGTTGTTTTTATTTTGTTACCCGTTTGAATAATAAACTGCATTGTTAAGGCTCTGGTGACTCTGCAATGTTGCATCGACATTGGGGGAAGTCCTGCTGGGATGGGTCACACTAAGTCCTGGAGAAGAGAATCCATTTTTTGAACTTTGGATTCAGGAAGAGCAGTGTGGTTTTCGTCCTGGTTGGGCGAACTCCCATGCACCCTTAGGGGGGGCATGGGAGTTCACCCAACCAATATACATGTTTAGTGGACTTGGAGAAGGCATTGGACCGTATCTCTTAGGGAGTGCTGTGGGGGTGGACCATGTTGTCTTGGATATTTTATGAACTGTATATCAGTAATGGCTTGATTCTAATCTTACAGAATGCCCTGAACCACCCAACGTCATCGCCATCATAGCAGGTTCCCTTGCAGCTGTGGCTGTAATTGGGATTCTGTTGCTGATGCTGGTCAAGTTACTGATCCACATGAAGGACCTGAAGGAGTTCAAGAAATTTGAGAATGAAAAGAAGAAATCCAAGTGGGCAAATGTAAGTTGTTTTTATAATTAATATTCCATCTATCTGTCTGTCTGTCTGCCTGCATATGTGTTTGTGTGTAGCGTTTCTCGAACCGGACCACTTTTTTCAGTAACGCATGTCTAACGCATTACTATTTCAAATCCAGCAATCAGATCAAAGTTACTTATCCAGATCATTGTGCGTTACTATTTTCTTTTGTAATTTCATTTTATTTCCTCTGTGCGTCTTGCCGCCGTTTCTATGCAACTGCAGCAGCTGAACACGTCACGACAGAAATGTTAACAATGGAGGGAGGAGAGAGATGCACATTTTGTTGCTGGAAAAACAGGAACTATTTAGAGTTTCTGTCAAGTCCAATTAGTATAAGCAACTTTTTATAACAGTGACACTGTTATAACATTTACGTCATATCATGATTTCTTGGTTAATGTCAAGTTGTCATAACAAAGACATTTTGAATAATGTCAACTTTGCATTAAATGTGTCATGATTTACCGAATGACACTTTATGACAACAGTCATAAATATTCATGAAGGCTTACTCATGTTCATGACAGGTGTTATGTCATGTTTATGACGGTGTCATGACAGTCTTATTCACAATCCGTCAAATGAAGTGTTACCAATTATTTTATCATTATATATTATTTTTCCACAATGACCACTCGTCACTGCGAAGTACATTGGTCAACATAACTGGATGAGATCCAACAGTAAATTTGGATGATCCTTCACATCGTCTGTCTGAACAAATAAAGATTATGTGTAGCGGCTAAAATCCTATATTTTAGGCTACTGGTGGTTGTTGTTGAAAGGCGTTGGTTTTACGTGCGCTCAATTAAGATTCATGATGCCGATCTTCCGTTTGACATAAAATAAAGTCATTTATTTTCAGAACAATGTCCATTGTCTTACTGTTTCCATTTAGATCCACATAAATTTGACATACATCCAAACCAAGCACAGTAGAAAACTGTTTCCCTCTGCCTTTTAACAACACCTGAACAGAATGATGGTTGACCTTAACCCATCCCCCCATCAGACACTCAGAACTCAAAATCAAATACGCCCCCTGGTGGCGATAAACACCAGAAAGGATAAATCAATTTAGCCCAAGATTACATTCTTTAATCTAGTTAAGTTCTTATCCATAAAATGTGGCGTTTTCACAAGACTGAAACACAGCATAAAGAAATGCAACTAATGTTAAACTTTCTTTATTTCCAGGCTGACAATCCGCTGTTCCAGAATCCCACCACTACCGTGGCGAACCCTCTGTTTACTGGAGAGTGAAGACCCTCTGCTACATCTTGACATTTATTCAAAGCTTTGCTTGAAACATAAGATTAGGGCTGTTGTAAACGAATATTTTAGTAATCGAGTAATCTATCA